AATGGAAGCCAAATTCCTGGGGTCAAATGCCAGAATTTGTGCCTTCACTGGCAGACACAAAGGGCTCTGTTTCTTTTATTCTTCAAGGAATAAAAGGCTGGTCGTGGCGGTGGCATTTGTGTGCTGATCTCTGTGAGGCTGCCAAGAGCTCTGTGCCCCTCCTTGTTTCCAAAGTGTTTGTGTGATGCTGTGTCCCTCTTGACAGAGGGTTGCAGTTGTCTCCCACCTCTCTAGAAGCAGCGAAACCAGCTCCCAGCGTGGCTGGCAGAGATCAAAGGTGTCAGGAACTCCTGCTCATGGCTCTCCCAGACCCATGCAGCCTGCAGGAGCTGCTCATGGCTCACGCGTAGGAAGTCCTGCAGGATGGGGGCAAGCTGAGAAGGTGCAGCTAAAACACATTTTAGGTGTAAATCTGACTTAAATAATAAAATATATAAAATGCCTCTGAGATGAGCTCTGCCAGATAGAGCTGCTGATGAGGGAGAGGGTCTCGTTAGCTTGTTCCTTGCCGTTTGGGAAGGGGTGTGGGACACATGGCCATCTGCCTGGTCTCTTCTTCCTAGCTGCCCTTGGGGCTGCCGCTGCCCGACAGCAGCAGTGTGGTGGGGAGAACTGGGTGACGGCAGGTTTTAAAAAGTCCGCAGCACCTCCCAGGAGCCCAGGGCACTGATAGCTGCAAGCCTCACCTGATGCATTTGAACAACATCTCCACCCAGGACTGCACCGAAAACAGGCTGCTTTTGTTCTGTCCTTCGTATTTTGCGCAGCAAAAGCAGAAGCCGAGTCTGCGTCTCCTCTGCCAATGGCTCTGTAACCATCTCTTTTGTTCTGTGTCTTCCAATTTTGGCTGCCGCGGCAGCGTGGCATGGTGCCACGTAATTAGGAACGTGGGCTAGCATGGCGGTCCCGGCTGCCCTCCTGCACCACGACGGCCCTCCCGAGTCCCTCCTGCGGCCGCTGCCGGCTCTAGACTTAGGTTTGACCATGCTTGTTGCGTTTTGTGGCCTTTGCCCGTGATTAATTGTAATGCCATAAGCATCTCGTACGTCTGCTGTTCACAGGATGACTTTGATGTGTGGTGGCGATGGCTGATCACTTGGTTGGCGTTTTATAATCACATTGTGTGTATTCTAGATGAAGTTCTCTTCTGGCTGGCAGGGCCCATCATGGGGGAGGGAGAAAAACTGCAGGGAGGAAGGGAAAGGCATCTTAAAACACAGATGTGACTCATTCTGTAGAAATTCAGGTTAGAGTTTGCTGATTTTTAGAAAAAGAACTCTAAAAGAGCTTTTTCCCCCCACCCTGAAAGGTCTTCTTCAGAAATAATGGAAAGGGGGGAAACACTTTAAGACCTTCTGTGAATGCTAAACGTAGCCAGCAGAGAACTTCATCGTACTACACTGGTTTTGTTTTGTTTGTAGCTGCAAATCATCAAAGTGACCTTACCTTGGGTTGTGTGTTTTGTTTTGACCCTTGAGTTGCCATCTGTCCACCTAATTCAGAAGTCCAAACTGCATATCATGATTGAAATTTCTAGCTAAATTATTGAAATCTTACAGGCCAAAAGAACCTTCCCTTTCACATAGAAGCAGATTCTGGCATTGCTGAGTGTGATTTTCTAGTGCAGTAAACTATGGTGTGTGATGTGCACTTGTATATGTATTGGGCTGGGGTGTATTTCTGGAAACGGAGTACAGGAATACTTACTGTCTTCTTAGCTAATGGTGCTTTTCATTCGAAGTAGCATTGAAGAGCTGGAATTTTTCCTTGCTGAGCAAAAAAGTAGTGCAGGATGTCGTGGATTTGCTGTCTCTCTGGAGCACACCGTGGGAGCTGCGATGGAGGAGCTGTGTATGTGAAAGCAAAGCCGACATGCGGAGTTTCCCGGGATGAGTTGGGAGCGTGCGCTCGCCCGACGGCCCCGCACATGGTCACGTCCCCCGCATGGGGTGTGCCGGCTCCGCAGAGCAGTTGGGTGGCGGCAAGGGACGTCGGGGGTGACCTGCGGAGCTGCTCAAACAGGGTGATGCTCAGGCTGGATTGCTCGGAGGCCCTCGGGCCGTCTCCTGGTCATTTTGCAGGCGCAGGCTGAATGCCTGTGTGCAGGAAAAGTGCAGGCCCCTCCTCTGCTCCTGCTGGTGGGTGTTTTTTAGTGAGTCCTGAGCATGAGGATTGTGCATTTGGTTGTTTGTTGTGTTTGTGGGGTGGTTTTAACTTTTTCAAGCCCTGGAGTAGCAGGAAGCCCAGTAGTGGGACACACGTAGGGAGAAGTAACAGGCAGCCAGAGCATCCGTCACCAATCTGGGGTGCAGGCTGTTGTCCAAGCTGCCGATTTACGAGGGGTAGAGCAGGAGGTGTGCGTGGGATCTGCTCGTCTCACCCCCAATGGTTGCATGGGCCAATGCCTGGGGGTGCCTCTGCGGAGCCTTTCCCCAGACCCTGGCAGGCCAAGAGAGCAGTATTGCACATCTGCATTATTTAAAACGAAAAGAAACAAAAGAAACCCCCGATGACCAAGTGTGAGGAACCTCTGGGTTGGGACGGGGCCCAGCTCCTCAGAAGATGCGAGTGCGCAACATTAAGAGCTCTTGGTCTGAACTGGCACATAAGCTCTAGCTGTGATTCAGCCGTGCCGGCCTCAGTTTAGATCAGAGCTAAACCAAAAGTGATTCAGTGAATTTCTGCCGCCTCGTCTCATTCTTGTTAGTCACAGGGTGATGTTGGTGCATTTATGGACTAAAGGGCTGTGAGGTCCCTCTCTGCACTACGCGCAGCATGGGTCTGGCCTCCGGAGATGGTCTTTGGCACTTAATCAGCCAAAGGTTGAGATGCTGCTCTCCACCATCCGTCCACCCCGGTGCTGCTCTGGGGGAGGCCTCGTTTTGTCTAAGGACCCCGATTTCGGAGGCAGTGTTGCTGTGGGGGAGGGAGGAGAACAATCATTCTCTCATCATGCAAATTGCCTCAAGAAAAACTAAAGTGCATATGTGAGTGGGAAAACAAGAGAAAATGTGGTTCAGATGAGCGCTTGTTTGCAAGAAGCCTTTCTCCTGCCTGAAGAGCGGGTTAAATCATCCAATGGTGGTGGTAAAGCAAATGGGAACAGCCCTGTAACTGCTGGGTAGGAGGGACCAGCCCCAGGTGGACCCCAGTACGTTGTACGTGGTGGCTGAGACCTGGGATAGGCGCTCGGGTGGAATGAGGGCAGCCAGTGACCCATCCAGCAGAAGTTTCCAGTCCCTGGCTGCGAGTCCCCGTGCAGCACCAGAGCCCCGCGTCCCGCTGCTGGGCAGTGTGGTGAGTCTGCTGGGGTTTCCGACCCCGGAGACCAGGCGGATGAGTGGGGATCCTTTCCCCGAGCAGCTGAGCTCGGCTTTAGAGAGCCGTTTAGGCACGTACAAGTCTGCATTTTGTGAAAAGCCTGTGGGAGGCTTTTAAAAGTGGTCGTGTTTGAAAATGCTGTCACACACATCCACACAAAAATCCCCAAAATATTTGAATCTGCATAAGCTCTGTGCAGAGTTTTACCCTGGTTTTTTTGTTTGCCAAAATGAGTTGGGTTTGGGGGCAGGGTGGAATGAGGTCTCTGGAGGATGGCTTTTGGTTCGTGCTCTTGCCTTACATGATTCAGCAAGCAGTCGGCCAAAGGGACCTTTTCCACAGCGTGCACTTTTTGGTGCACGTGGCTCTGATCTTTCAGTGGTCACATGCCGTTTGCTGGTGACAGTCTGCACACCCCTATTTCTTAAACAAGCCCCAAATCTGTGGAGCCCGTGCACAAAGGAGCTCTCTGCTGCCGAGAGCTGTGCAGGCAGATACTGTTTGCACTCTGCAGTTGCATGTGCAAGTGCCCATTTTTGTCTGGCCTGTGGCAGTTTGTGTGGATGGACCTAAACCTTCAGGTTTGTGCAGTTTTTGCTCTTCGTTGAGGCCTGACTTGTTGTGGGCCCTTTGGAAAATATAGCCCTTTCATTTTGTTGCCTTTTTTTCTTTCCTCCTCATTAGCAGTTTCTAGCAAATTAGTGGGCAATCCTGCATTAATCATCTCCAGGTTCTTTCAGTCTGTGGACTTTAATTGACTGTGGCATTGTTAAATTCCCCTCAGCAGCACGGCTACCTCAGGGCACAGGCAAACCGGCTGGTGAAAAGCAACGCTTCAGGACCTGCATTGAAAGGGCAGAGGAAATGCCGGGGGCCGGCTGGCCGCAGAGCCTGGATGTAAAAGCTCATGGGCACGCGAGCATCGCTGCCGGGCCGGGGGCTGCTCGCTCGGTCGCTACTGAGGAGTGTTACTGACGGGAAGAAAACCAGAATTAGTATCTCGTGTTTTACAACAAACACCCTGTAGCATTGCCCTAAACATCCAGTGTTATGGAAACACCGGCTTAAACGTGTAGTAACTGATGACAGCTGGCAAGCGGGAAGGCCCTCGGCTGTGCCTGGGGACAGCGGTTGTCCCTGGTGGGACACTACCCTGATGGGATGAGCGGAGGAGCGACCCGGTGTCCCCGGTGCTGGCAGGTGCCTGGTGGGGGCTGTGGGTCCTCAGGAGCCGCCACCAGCGTTGGGCAGTGGG